ATTCTCCACCTGACAGTAGTTAAATTTCTGGACCCGGACCCGATCGGGTTCGGGTCTGGAAGGACCTGCAGCTCCCTATTTCTCTGTTACAGTATGTGATGGTCTCTGGAGTCCCTCTGTCGCGATCTATGATGGATATGGATTTTCTCTGTCACGGTCTGAGGGGTGGGGAGTGGGTGCAAAATTTCTATCCTATACAGTTCAACACTCCTTTCAGACCGTGTTTCACAAAAAAGTTATGGCCGCTATTGCATGCATATTTATGCGAGGCTTTCTGCTTCTTCAGATATTATTTGCAGAAGATGGGTAACACATTGACCAAAGGAAATGGAAAAAACATAACACCAAGCCCATCCGAACTAATGATGCAAGCAAAACGCAAACAAGCCCAATTGATGTCCTATATCGAAGGTGATGCATCCAAATTTTACTTTGCTTGTCGCAATGGCGAAATAGATCATGTGCGCGCTATGCTGAATGACCCGAGCTCACCATCCATCGATGATTTAAACGAAAGACAACCAAATGGAAGCACCGCACTTCACGCCGCTACCTACAATGGTCACACAGACATCGTTAAGCTTCTGCTCGATCGAGATTGTTGTCGAACAACATTGAACCGCTATGGCAAGACAGCCTATGAAGAGGCGAGCACGCCCGAAATGCAGCAACTATTTGCTCGAGCCAGTCAAATGAATCGTTTCTATGAAACGAACACTGTTCATACGATGGCATTGTACGTAATTGATGAAAGNATCTTTATCAATTTTATCGAATTTAAATGAAACACTTGATTTCGTTCGTATATTCCAATCTCAAGATGAAATACTCGATTATGCACTGAATCAACAAACAACTGCCCTGTGGATAAAATTTTACAATTGGTTTTGTCACACATTTCGTTTGTTTATCGAACGTGACAATTTTCATATTGATTCTTTCGACTTACACAAACATCCTGATTTTCAACACTTTCTGAAAAGAAGTCTGCCTGAACCAGAGAAATATAGAAACATGATGAAAGCCATTAATGAAGCCAAAAGGTGCAATTCAATCGAGCCACTGATCACAGTTTACACAAGTGAAACTGCCGGCTTCTATGGACCACTCAATCGACAACTAGCAGATTCACCAGACGATCCTCAAATGAGTCCACATTTGTGTGATCGATTTATTATCGAATTTCTCATTCATCGGCATGAACTTAAACAACGAACATTTACTGGTATGACTTATCGTGGAGCAAAAATATCCAAAGCCGAGCTATCTAACTACAAGGGCGTACTCAATAGTCAGTCAGGAGGTATACTAGGCCTCAAAACATTTACATCGACCTCCATCGATCGATGTGTTGCGCTCGAATTTATTGCGAAATCATCAATAAATGATCACGAGTGCAACGTTTTATTTGTTTTCGATATTGATCGCATATCATCAACTATTTTTGCGATCGAAGATATTTCTGTGTTCGGTCAGGAACGTGAAGTATTGATCTTGCCTGGTACACTTTTTGTTGTTACTCGTGTGGAAGAACAAATTGGCTTCAAATTGATCGAAATTCATCTACGCTATTGGCATACATCGATTTCATTTTTTCAAAAACTCAAACAGACAGCTCGATCAGGTGCCAAGACTGTTATTTGAATGGTACATATGTTGGGTTCTATCAGCATGCGCTCTAAAAACGCTTTCGTTCTATTAAATAGGATTTGTTGACATTCGTAGTACCTGCGCTCGAAACGTAACTCACTATGATGACTTGTACTAGCTTTGTTTTGTACGAAATAAGAATTACATGTTCACAGACAGAAATTACTAAATGTGGCATCGTTTTGGTACTCCTTCTTTCAGATTTTGCTGGAGAATATTGATCGGGTCATGTTTATACTATTGAGTATCAATTAAGGGCATGAACCAGAAATTCAATTGAATATATTAAGCCAAACTTGTTTCAGGGTAGAAACATGCAACGTAAGACTTTTCTATGCCATCCCTACCCTAACGATCCTTACATCTTAATCAGCCCCAAAGATTTTGTTCAGTTGATCATTTAGAGGACAAACTAAAATTTCGGTCATCGTTTTCTTATTTTTGTTCCCAGCTCAATAAATTATAGAGTAAGATCAGTCTAAGATTCTTGTATGTTCGTATCAGATCTTGATTCATTATCGTATTTGGTCATAGAAGATCATACGAAAAATCGTGGTCTCAGAAATCTTACATCCATTCTGGCGGTAGGTTGCTTGAAAGATCTACCAATATGATTGTGTATGGTCATAGAAGATCGTATTGTAGAATTTCATAATATTTTATCACTCTAAATATAATTCGCAGCTTCTTAGACCCTCGCATGTTAGGAGTGATCAGAACTTCCTGTTGGACTCTAATACACAATGTTTAGCCACGCATAGAGGCAAATAAAAGTCCCGTCAGCTAGCATCATACAACTCCTACTAACATGTCTACTAATTTTTACCTCTTTCTTTAAGCATATATCCTTATATCTATCCACTTAGTCATATGCCTTTAGGGTGTAGGTGTGTGGGTGGGTGTGGGTGTGAGTGTGGATGTGGGTGGATGTGGGTGTGGGTGTGGGTGTGGGTGTGGGTGTGGGTGTGGGTGTGGGGGTGGGGGTGGGGGTGGGTGTGGGGGTGGGTGTGTGGGCGTGGTCGGCTATGAATCGGAGAGCGACAGCCACCCGCACCCCGCCCACCACCCCCACCCCGCC